ACCAGGGTTCAAGTCCTGAGTCTGGTGGCTTGCGTTTTCACTTCCTCTCTCTGATCAAACTAAAAAAATAAAATGAATGAATAAATAAAATAAATAATTATTTAAAAAAAATTATTTGCTTAGTTTCACTTGCTGTTACTATTATTAATTTGACCAGAGAGAGACAGAGAGAGAAAGAGAAAGTGAGAAAGCAAGCTGCCAGGTCCAGGACTTGAACCACAGTCGGCCAATGTGGGAGTCCAGCACCTCAACCGTCACGCCACCTGCCAGCCCCACTATTCAGGGTTTTGTTTCAAAACATTTTTTTTTTGAGAGGTTTTCGCTATAGGGCGCGTGCACTCGCCAGACAGAGACATAGAGACAGAAAGCGAGAAATCACGCCCCAGGGGGATGGTCACGCCTCAATCCTTCTCCTCCATTCTCCTCTCGGGATCTTGGGCACGCACGCACACGCGCCTGGCGTGAGTTTCAAGCCACCGGGTCCGGGACGCGAACCGCGGTCGACTACGTGGGAGTCCAGAGACATAGCCATTACACTAACTGCTGGTTCCCGTTTCAAAACATTTTAAAGCTTGCTGCGAAAAGTCCACCCCAGAAGGGTGGAAAACTGCTACACAGCTGGATGGCATGTCGGTGTGGCACACGCATGCACATGTGCACATGGGTTCTCACGCGTGGACAGCTACACACCCCACAGGGCATGCCCGGTCCAGGCTGCAACCTCTCTGGGTCAGTGAGTCAGTTAGAAACAATAAGTGCACACCCTGGAGAGGCTGCGTAGAGATGGGGGTTGGGAGATATCCCCAGCCCAGATGTGCAGAGCTGGCTGTCCTGAGCAACCCCGAGCTGGGCTGCTGAAATAGCAGAGCTCACGGAACCTCCTCTGGCCTCAGCTGCACCGGGCGGGCACCCGGCACCCGGAGCGGGCCGTACGGGCTTTCCACTCTAATTAGCTAACACGCGATGCAAAGGAAACCTTGAAGCCCACAGCTTTCCAATAATGGCATTTTAATTCTTCCAAGGCACAGAGGGATTTTTTTTTTAAAAAAAACTAGAAAACAAAGGACCTGTTTATTTACAAGAAATGCTCATGCACAGAGGTGGATTAAGGTCTACTGCATTTAACGATGGGTTCCGATCGGGACCAGGCTGGTCATAAAACCGAGGAAGGGAAAAACACATAAAAGAAAATGGTCTCTGATAACGGAGCAAGAAAACTTTGCGAGTTTACGAGCCATGGGGTGGAAATGCTTCTGGAGGAAAACCCAGGTTGTTGCAAAAGTCAGAGCTGAGGAGGGGAAGAGATGTAATTAAGCCTTGGAGCGTCTGCGGAGAACAAAGCGCACCACTATACAATGCTTTGTGGAAAGAAACTGCAGGCGCAGTTGAGAGAGGGAGGACCTCAGGGGGCGGGAGGTTCCCCACAAGCTCTGGCTGCAGAAGGCACCCACCTGAAACCCCATCAAATCCCCACGTTGGGGCTTGTCGAGCAATGAGGAAAAACCAGTTTTCTGTGTATTGATTTAAGAAAAACTGGAGCCTGTCACCAAGGCTTGCTGACTTCAGCGCTGTGGCACCCGAGGGACCTTCCTATCTAATTGAGGTTCTCTTACACTGAGCCTGGAGCGCTTTAGACTCTCGAGCAGTATTTCCGGTGGCTTCAGTCTTCCACGATTTAGAATTCTGCCCGAGTCCTAGCAGAACTTATTTTTAAAAGTTCTAAACCATTCATTCCATATGTGTGCCTAATTCCTTGGGGGTAAGTTAATAAATAAATTAATTAAAAAGTAGCAGAAAGGACACTGATCGATTTGGGGTGTACCTCTTGTGCAAGTGTACCTCTGCACGCTCGAGCCTCCCGTTTTCCAGATGGGGACCTGAAGGCTCAGTAATCAGTTACTAGGTTAAGCAATAATCAGTTACTAGTTACTAGGTTACCAAACTACGGTATAAATGCAGGACTCATGAGATCCAACTCTCGTGTCCCTCCAGCATGTGTGTGGCAACACACATACATGCACACGTGTGTGGAACACACCTGCACACACGCATGCATGAGTGTGTGGCACATGCCTGCACTAGACCTCAAATCTTGGGCTGTCCTTACGTATATTTTTTAGTTTTTTGCGTAGGGCTCAATCCCTTCTCCTCACACACAAAGGTGGATGAAGGCCTATTGCATTTAATGATAGATTCCTCACAGAATTTCTGAGCATGCACACGCATGTACTTGGTACGTTTTTCAAGCTGCCAAGATCTGGAACGCGAACCGTGCGTGCAGTTGGTCATGTGGGATCCAGTGAACTTCACCACCACGCCACCTGCTGGCCTGAGCCCATGTCTCAGGGTCCAAGACGCAACAAGTGAAAAATAACTACAGTGGATCTTCGCTATTCATGGTAGGTAGGGTCTACAAAGCATGACTGAATTAGCAAACGCCAAGTCACCGCTTCCTGGTGACAGACAGAGTCAGGGCCTTGCATGCTGCTGGTTACAAGCTTCTGCCCCACTCAGTGTCTCCACCTTCCGGGAGTACATCAACCCGTATA